AACGGCTAAAGTCTCAATAATAAAGGTATTGTAAATTGAAAAATAATTTAATGACAAACAATATAGAGGATAAACGAATAGGTAACATCGGTTAATTGTGTATGAAAACTTTATTAAACAATGAGGATTGATACGACACATTGCAATTGCAATCAGAGAGAAAATTAATTAATTTTTGTTAAAGTATCTAAAAATTGAACTGCAGAGATACAGATGTATAAATAATTTTGTTAGACCATTAAAGTAATTATGTAAAACGCTTAAACGTTGATGACAATCCTACAAAAAGTTCAAGCATTCTGCATAATTATTTTGATCATCTAACAAAATTATTTTTAGATCTGTATCTATTACAGCTACATTGTTTATAGATACTTTAGCGGAATCGTTCTTTCCGTGTGCATTATATTAGAAAATTCCTCCTTTCTTTGTCAATGTGTTACGCTATCGCTAATAATATGTATTCAAAGTTGTATACGTTGCGCTTAAGATATACCGCGTGTCCGCCGTTTTTGCCCCGTTTCTCGCGAGCGACACGATATAGAAGCGAAGAAACGAAAGTCACGCTCGCGTGCTAATATCAACGTCAACCATCGGGCGTAAAGGGTCCCATCGAGACTCGCCTCCCGACCCCAATTACGCGCGGATTCATCGTGGAAGGACGTGGACGTCGTTCGTACTTACATGCATGCATCATCCGTCATTCGCGTTTCTGTCGCGGACTTTGCCGAAGAGCCGGACTCGGAGAGTCTTGGGAAGAAGCGGAAGGGACGGGAATCCGGGGAAGGTATCCGTCAATCCGGTGGACGACGCCGGGAAGATTGTGAGGTAATGGAAACCAGAGGCGCAGGCAGACTTGAGCAATTATCGGTCGTTACGTACTATTATTAATAACAATAATGACGGCTAAACCCGGCAGAGAGTATCGCGTGCGCTCCCACGGATGAAGTGCGTGCCGGGGTATATAAACGATGTATCCACCTAATAGGTATCCATGCCGCGAGCAAATTCCTTGCCTCGACCTGCTATCCCGGTCTTTCTCTCTTTCTCTCTTTCCCCCCCCCCCACCCCTCGTTTCTTCCTCTCCTCGTCCTTTTTAGCTTCTCTCTGTCTTTCCGTCCCTGTATCTATCTTTCCCTGTTTCGATCCCACCGCTCGATCTCTTCCCACCCTTGTTGCCTTCAGTTTTTCATTGTTGCAGGTTGCTCGTTCGGCTTGCTCCTTCGATTTGCGGATTTGCTCCTGTGCACGTGTGTGTGTGTGTGTGTGTGCGTGTGTGTGTGCGCGTGCGTATGTAAAATTTTTCAGCGGAGAGTGCCGTTTTTAATAAAAGAAACCGCACGAAGCCAATTTCGTTAGCCAGTTAGGGTTACTCGCGAGCACAGTGGATGGATGTCCAGTCCGCCGTGGTTACAGGCCGAGAAGGCCTGTATTCAACGGCGCGTCGCATGCGTGCATTCGCGGGCGAGGTGATCTCTTTTATGAATTGATAATGAGAAATTAGTGTAATTACACGGCGGACCTGTATGTAAGAGCGTCGCGATGGAAACTACGAACAAACAACCGGAACGCCTTCGGCATTGTCCATTCGATTGCCGTCCAGTTATCCTAACGACCGCAGTAGTGACGTGTTAAGCTTATATACAGCACGCTTGAAATTTTGGCCATTTATCCCGTGTAGTCTCTCAATCCGTCTTTGAATCAACCCTCTGTAATCGATGTAGCGAGGAGTTAAAGCCGCAACCTCTGGAGGCACGAAAATCGATATAATCGAATGATATTTTTAGTTCATGAATATGAATAAACGTGATATCGCGATGTAATTCGTATCTGTTCCTGGCGATTATAAGGGCATAATAAGGGCCACGGCGTACGGAAAGAAAGCTTAAGCAGTAAGACGTAAGCAGTGAGAAAATCAACATGTTGGATTTATTTATTGCCTATGACCTTACATTCTCAACTGTAATTGACCGATTCGTTTACTATTTACGTTTTACTGTTTAAGTTTTTTTTTTTTTCTATATACTATGGCCTTAAGAATAGACTTACGTATTCCTATAATATGGAGCTGTCACTATCGGTTTAGAACGTAGATATAGAAGAATAGAAAACGCATTCCCTGATTTTTAGCATCTGCAGTACTCTCTTAGAAAACGTCCAACTATTTTAGACGGAAAGAGAGAGAGAGAGAGAGAGAGAGAGAAAATATGATTCAAGCTATCTCATTCTTTTTAAACTAATAACGACAACTTCATAATATAACAGTCCGTTATTATATCTATTGTTTAGAAAGAATAAGACACCTTGAATATCATCTCTCTCTCTCTCTCTCTCTCTCAAGTATCAAAATATTAAAGAGAGATGCTGATGTGGTTCAATTCTTTCTAACGGAGCACATATCTTAAAATTGGAGAATGTGCAATCTACACCTGTTACATCTATGTGATTACATCGGTGATGAAGTGACCATCCGCTTATGTCGAGGGGATTAATTGCTCATCGTCGTTAAGTAATTGGTCGGCCGATTATAGTATATTATATTCACCTCGGACGCCTAAGGAGTCCGTATCCAGCGAGATGAAGACATTACCGGCGGCGCCGCGAGAGAGCAGGCCACGAACGGTATTTTTACGAGCGGCTCGTAAAGTTAACGAGGACCGCGAGGTAGGTAGGCAGGTCTACGAGAAAGAGAGAAACTCCGGCGTTCCACGGCGATGCTCGGTGGCTCGTCTCCATTTTTTATTGTTCACCTCGGCGCGCGATCCTTCTTCTTCCACCTCTTTCTTCCTTTCCTCCGCTCCTCCTCCCTTCGCCTTTTCTTTTTCTTAGCTTCCTTCTTAGGCTTTCTGGCCTTTCCTCGAATACGATCCGGGCTACCGTCCACTCGTATAGGTACCCGACAATTCCCGATCTCGTTTAGAGTCTAAATTTCCGCGAGTCTCACCGAGTTGCGTTCTCGCGTGGAAAACCGCACTCGCGTACTCATCTTGAAAGCACCTCGATCTGCATTAACTCGTTCAAACATGACGGTCGAAGGTACGAGGTACGAACAACAACACGAATAGTCACGAAGAACGCAAATGCCGGAAAGCTCGGGGTGTGGTTTCTCAAGTGTTCAACCTTGAGATATATATTTTTATATTTATTCATGTTGTAAACGACATGAATCTCTATTGATTATAAAGAAAATGGCATGGGAAAATTGTCATCGAAGCTAATGTAATTTGACAGCTAGATACAATAGATATGGTATGATATATATTACACTACGGCAAATTCATAAAATTTCGAATTTAATTTTACTAAATCAAAGAGCGGCGAGAATCGAAGCTTCGCGTTAGTCTCTCTCTTGGAATGTAGAGAGGCCAATGACTGATGCAATCGTTGGTGAATTATTCAAGTTTGTTGTGCCGAGGTGCTGAAATTTAATGCGTGAAAGAAGTGGTTATTACGTGTTAATTCTGGCAAGCTAACGAGCTTCGAGTGGCCGATGCGCTCTTCATGACGCTCGTTATGTTTGACCATGCCTCGTAAGTTTGACGCTATCCCCTGTTCTCTGCCTTGCTTGGAATCGTTCGAAACGTTAACGCTGTATCGTTTGTGGTCGCCGGTAATTGCCGCGTGAATCACAGAGAAAGGTACAATCAAGAATTATGTAAATTTCGAATTAAAAAAAGAGGTACAAAAAGAGAGGGAGAGAGAGAGAGAGAAGGAGAAAGAGAATCTAAGAAAAAATACCTACGGTCCAAAGAAAATACAAAAAAAAAACAGTTTACTCTTTATTCTTTGAAAAAAAATAGAAAGAAAAGAAAGCTTCCATTTAGATATAGGAAAATATGATGTTAATATTGTTTCTCTCACGAATAGGAATTATTTTAAAACTTTATTTGACAAATATGACAAAAACCTTTTATATCAGTCTATCTAATAGTTCTCGACTTTGGAAAATCTTCTCTTGTGCATCTCCGATATCTATTTTTCTCTCATTTCCGGAGGATCGATGATATTCTTAGAACGTAGAATATAAATGGACGATTTCTGCCTTGACTTCGTATCGAAATTACGTACGTACGTAATGCGTGCGTGGCGTTCGATACTCGCGATAGGTATAGTGGTTGACGAACATAATAGCGATATGTCAACGGAGTAGTTTCCCTACGTAAGTTCTCGTGTTCGGAATGTCACCCAATAATTTGCATATTCTTATCGTCAACGATAAGAAAAAAAAAAAAAAAAAAAAAAAAAACAACGTGGGTTATAACATCGAGCGTATCATGAACGCGATTCTCCTCGCGTAAGGCAGCTCGCGGTAAATCGCAAATAAAAATATACTTTACAAACCTAAAAGTTTCGTAACGACTGCGCCCTGTTGGTTTAATGACAACACGTGATTGGCGAGATCGTTGTAATGCCTGAGTGCTCCTAATCCGTGTGACAATTCGATTAGACGTTGCCGCGATGCGTTGCCATTATTGCCACTGGCGAAAGGACCGGCCGTACAATTTTGTAAATTCACACCTGCAATCAGAGAAATGTTTCATTGTTATAATAATAAATGTAATAATAATAAAATTGTCATTGCCGAACAATTAATGATAATTACTAGGACGAAATCTCGGTCGAAACCTGCTTCGATTACATTTTATTATCACATCTTCGTTCTTGACTTTGGATTATTTTCGTAAACTAGTTAACAAGGTTCGAAAGATTGATGATTTTTACAGGTCTGAAATAAACGAGGATCTACTTTTCTCACAAAGATCCTTTTTAGGATCCCGAAAATCAATTGAATGCTTCGTTAAATTAACAATCGGCTGCGTAATCGCTGTGACGAAAGTGGTCACGGTCAAATAACTTGACGTTGAGGCACTTTAATTTAAGTTGCTAAACGTGATCTCGCGATCCTGTTATTGATATGATTTTAAGGAATGTTAAAAGCGCAGTCAAGAGATACCTGTCATTCAAATTATGATTAATAATTAACTTATATTCATATTCGCATAGATATTATCTCGCACAGCATTTATATTCTTTTTAATAATATATTACCATATTACCAGAACTTTGATTTCAGGTGTTTATCAATGTTATTTCAATGTATTTTCAATGATTATCATTGCTTTTAAATTAACATGCTAATCAACTTTCTAAGTTTCTTGGAATGAAGTCTCACTTTGAATGAAAGCACCGCCACTACTGAAAAAAATGAAAATATTTACACTCCTGAATAAGTTTCACTCTTTTGGAATAATTTTATGTTTCACATAATCTTATTTTTCATACTTTTGTTTTATTTATATAATCTAATTATCGTACTATATTTATGTTAAATTCAAGGATTGCAATTTTTTATGTGATTGAACATTTAAAACTTCTAAAACGAATAACAAAAAATTGTAATAAGCCCATACATTCTTTTAACGTTACAAAAAATATTTTCCTCTTTTTCTGTTACGAGTTAAATAATCATAATTTGTACACGATCTGCGCAACTTCTGATTATTGGTATAACTTGATCTGAAAACCACCATGTTTAATTTAGATTTTTTTTTCTTATAAAGTGAAAATGTAGTAATAGTATTTTTAAATGGTAATAAGCTAAAAAGAGTAAAGTGATATCGAGAAAGCGAAGGATATGCTAAGTGGAAAATTGACTCGTAGGAAATAATCTTCAAGGAGAGAAAACGTAATTACATAGCATGGCCAAAATAAAATCGCGACAAGGCGAAACGAGGTTTCGAAGCGTAAATCGACGCGAGCTTAAAGATAATATGAATTAAATGTGAGATAGATGTTAATTACTGTACCGGCAGTGTCTGCGATCAAAATTATGATGTGCTTATTATAGGTTCAGCTTCCTCGTAATCGCACTGTCGACTAATCTTAACAACGTTTAGTGCGGAGAGTCGCCCAGATGCCAATTTACGATCGAACGATATATGGCAATATAAAGAGCGTGTAATACCTGTCATTTTGTAAACGAGGAGTGCAATAGCTTTTTATCCAGTCGATCTTACATAAGGAGTTCGGCGATCGCGGGAGGAGACCGTCGGGTGAAATTAAATTCCGAGTGTTGGTAGAAAACAGGTCCGTCGTGCTCATTTGTATCGCGTTGTTTTAATTGGTTTCAACGAGTGAACTCAGCGTGAATTCGCGGCAGTTCGTTTACATAGTGAGAACGTCTAATTAATTAGTCTTTTATGAGTTAAGTGTATTACCAATCAGCTCGGTAAATGCATCTTGCGCAGATCATTTGCAATTTGTTATTTACGTAATCGAACAGTCACTTTTGCACAATTTATGACGATAATGTAGTTAATTGCTCCTCATCAGGAATACAGTTAATCAGTATTTAAATTATATAACTGTAATCTGGAGAAGGAAAATTGACACGATGTTTTTTGGACGACGAGAACGATGAGAGGACTCGTAGAAAAATTTCGTAATCCGTATTGACTTAGCAAGAGTCGCAGAGAAACTTTTTACATTCAGGGTGACTCCTTTGATTTAGAATATCTCATACAAAGGCTAATATGATCTTATTCAAATACATATTTTCAGATCTGTATCTAGCTAAGTTTCCAGACACTTCAGCAAAACACCGTTCTTTCCGTGTACTTTACATTGATAAGCGTTAGCTGTAGTAAATACATTTTATATATTCTTCACATTTTTATTATCTTTTATAGTCTTTTTGATTTATTACGATTAAAAAATATCGTTGCTACATTTTCACTAACAAAAGAATCTAAGTTAAATATTCGATAGTAAGATCACATTAATGGTCATAAATTTCGTAGATTGTGTTTAAGTAACGACTATTTAATCAAAGAGAAGAAAAACATGTCAATTATATTTGTGAAACTTTTTTTCGAGTATTTTTGTTACAAAATTGACGTGCTATTAAAGTTATTTCCCGAGAAATCTCGTGTGCAATGGTCGCTCGAAACGTCGGATAAAACTTATGCGAATCCCGCGAGTCTCGCGCCTATCCCATCCGCTTCGAATGGCACATCGGGCGCGCATTCCGCGCTCGTTTCGTGTCAAAGCGATCGGAGGTGTCGTGAAAACGAAAGTAGCCGATACACAGAAAGAAATGCGTCCCATCGCGTCGCGTTGCATCGACACCACCAGCGGGAACCGGTTCTGAACGAGTTCTGGCATCAGGCCTCACGGTATATTCGTCCGTACATTCGAAATCGCCGCCAGTAAAGACCGATCGCTTGACACGGCAGTAATAGATAATAGAGAGAAAAACTGGAAGGGGCCGATTCTCTCTTTCTGCAGACTCGGCGACTTCGTGAGATCGTTCACTCTGCGCTTCCGATGAGTGGTTTTATCTGGACTGAGTGCAGATGGCTTCAAGTAAAATCGCGTCGCGTTACGAGTGTTTGCTAACGGTGCACGAATAAAGTTAACTCTTAAATGCAGACCATTCGTTGCGACACGCACACGAATAAAGATAAAACGCAACAGAACACACTTAAATTATTTAAAAAGAATGTACAAAGGAAAATGAATGCATGCAGATGTGAAGTTCATATCGTATCTGTAATATGTGTATGGTGGAAAGAAAATTAATCGAATACAGAGTTTGAGATGATACAATGGCATAACTTAAACTATTCCGCGTGTAAAAAAATTCATAAATTAATTTGCGCTGAAATTTTACCTGCAAGATTTTATTTCTACTCGATTAAAATTAATCTAAGACTCAGACTATATATAAATTATATATTTATATATAAATATTTAGAAATAAAATCTTGCAGGTAAAATTTCAGCGCAAATTAATTTATGAATTTTTTTACACGCGGAATACAACTCAAATAAACACATAGATGCGTTTACACTCGAGGACAGCGTCTCGCAAAAAGTAATCTTATATCTGACTAAGCAATCTGATTATAATTTCTACAGAAATCGTGTTAAAAGTAAATTGTACGTGTAATCGACAATTACACGGGCAAACATTTTACGTAATAACTTTTTGATTAATTAAGTCCGTTTGATTAAGTCTATGACGAGTTGTTACCCAAGAAAGAATTGAGGACGAATTTAATGACATTTTAAATTTCATTTAACAAAGAAAGATGCCCATATTTCTTGGTGCAAATATTATATATTATATAATAGAACGTAATTATAAAATTTCAAAGTAAAACTATATATAGTACGTCATGCGTCACTGTGATCATGTATAATATGCTAATTACTCATAAATTTTATTCATGACGTCATATATTGATCTATTTTTGTATTTTATATTAATATCCACATATTCCATATAATATTCCAAATTGAATGTTACCGTAAAATTATGCAATTTGATCATATTTATAGCCTTGAATGTGCGATTAGAAAAGCCATCTATTCTTTTTATCTTCTTACTAATAGATTAATTTGTTATTATGATTAGAAATGATAATAAATGCGGATTATTACGATTTAGATAGATGTAGGAAGTATAGTTCAACATGAAGTTCACACGGAAAGAACGAATTTTGCTGATGTTCTTATGGGCAAAATCCGCATAGTAGACATTGCTCGGGCCGTGTCAACATTGTCCAAACGCAATTGGGCAAGGCTGGGCATGTATTTGAAATACTTTTATTTGAAAAACAGTATTGGTAAGACAATTATATTTTGTATTTTGCATTTCATGGGAACATATAAAAGTATTTTGTATTTTATACTTCAGTATTAATAACAAAAGATTATGAAAGTATTTTGTATTTTGTGTTTCAAATACTAACATTGATAATTAATCTTATTATTTGACATTATTTTACAGAGTAAGATACAAAAAGCTTTCAGTCTTTCGATTTTAAATACTTTTATGTAATCCGCTAAAATAAAAAATACAAAATACGCTTGTATTGCAAATAGTGCGTTTTAAATAAAAGTATTTCAAATACGTGTCCAGCCTTGTGATTGACAATGTTGACGCGATCCGGACAATGCTGACATTGTATAGCAGGCAATATTGCCCATAACATAATCTAAAAATTTAGATGGATACAAGTCTGAAAATAATTTTGTTAGACAAAATTATTGACACATCAAAATAATTATGTAAGAAGAATTATCTTATCATCCCCTGTGCCATAAAGTGGGTGTTATTTATAATTTACTAGTTTAGTTAAATTTTTATAGATACTTGAACAAAAAGCTAATGAGAAAAAGAATAGATACTGCGAAAAAGAAAATTACAATTCTTAGCGAAACTGTAACCTGGTTAGCAAGTAATATATTCTACGCATAAGTGCATATATCTTCGCGGACACTTTCGACGATTGGTCGTCAAAGCTATAAACAAAGTACTGCGCGAAGACAACTATTAGTCGTTAACAGATATACCTGTTTCAAAACACTCTGAGTACGGTTGTAAAATTCCATGGCATCGTCTGCTGTCAAGTATCGAGTTCAACATCGGAAACATTCGTGAACTTGTATCGAATTTATTCATAACTTTTAATTCACAAATAATATTATCAAATCGCAATTTCAAAGAATCAATTTAGATATAATTCGGCATTTAAACAAATTGTATTCACTCAAATACATAATAAGAATTATAAGAATTATATGAATTCGCGAAAAGAGTGGCTTTGCTGAAGTATTTATAAATTTATTCATTATCTCACCTAGAATTCTGATAGATTTAATCAGAAAAAATCCCGATGGAACTTCGTCCATTTTTTCCACTAGAATTACAATCCCATCAAACCATTTTTCTCATTAAATTTAATTTTAATCATAGACCTAATAGAAAAAAAACACGCATTGGCTTTAATCTTATAATATCTGTGCTTTGTTAGAAAGAATTCAATCATATTAGCTTTCCAATTCTATCAGCATCTCTTAACTCAATATTTTAGAGAGAGAAAGCGATAAATGATTTAAGCTACTTCACACTTTCTAAATAGTGACAACTTTATAGTAATCTACAGCCTCTTCTTACATTACAATCCATGATTTTTATGATGAATGTTACATTGTCGGAAAAGAATGTCACTCTTTCAACGCAATCATCAGATACGACTTCGTTATTTATGTATTAGTATATCTTTCATACGATAGTTCATATGGCCAAGTGCCATAATGTGCTACCAGAACACCTGAAACACATTTTCTTTTGTCCTTTTTTGTCTTTTTCCCTTCCTTTCCGCTCGCTCGTGAACGAAGACGTTGCGTACGTGGTATCTGCCTCGAAACGATCTGGGTGTGGTCGTAAAATCTCGTGGTTCAGGAACGAAGTGCTCCGCAAACGCGAGAGTACCCGCGGGATGGACGGGTATTGAGCGTTAAACGAGAGTAATACGTTCACCGATCCGAAGAGAAGTACTCGCGTTGCCAACGCATTGAAACCGGTTCCGAATGAGTGCGATACTTGGTAGCCCCCGTGCTCTGGCAAGTGCAAATCGCGGAAAGATCCGCGAATGCGCGGTAGTTGAACATGTCGTCGTAGGCGCATATCCACTGCTCCCAATCGAGCATGTCCTCTTATTCTTTTATCAACGGTTTTACGAGGCAAGCAACCAAGGAGCATTTCACGCTGCATCAGGCAGCATCGTAGAGAGCGAATAAGGAGTTCGCCATATTGCATTCGTGTGTTAAATAATATCATAAGCGCCGAGTTGTACAATCGCGGCGTTTCGCTCCTCGTCGTTTTTTAACAATTTAATTAGCGGCCGAAAAGAGGCGGCGGCAATCGTTGATATTGAACTGTAAGTATCCACCGAACGCGTCGCGTTTGTTTAATTTATGCAGAAAAACTTGGGTATTTCCTGATTATAATTAAATATTATGGTTTTTTTTTTTAAGATTGGTTAAAAATATAGCTAGATGTAGATCTAAAAATAATTTTGTTCGAACCTTCGAAATTATAACTATGTAAGATATTAAAGTTGATTGCTAGAATGTTAAAATTTTTTGCAGTATATCAACGCTTAGTCTTTCCATATAATTATTTCGATGGTTCAATAATATTATAATATTATTAAAATAATAATATTATTTTCAGATCTATATCTAGATAAATTTTTAATTACTTTAGCAAAATGTTCTTTTTGTGTAGATATTTTGAAATTATTTAAACTTTTATAAACTGGTTTATATTCGACATACAATAATTTATATGGCGATTAAAATCATGATATACAAAAGTTTATATGGCGATTAAAATCTGAATCTCTGAAACAGAAATTATTTCGTATATGTTGATACTGTTCTGATTTACTCTTCTATTTTTACAATTCACATAAGTTGAATATTATATTTCAAAATTACGATCAAGATTTCGTAATACTTCCGAGATTTTTTTAAAGGCAAGAAATGCTTCCATTAGCGTTAGTTACGAGACAAGTCCTGTACAGGTGTTCGCCTGTACAGGTGTTCAATGTTAATTGCAGTTACCATCCCGCATCGAAAGGTTCGCGCGGTGAAAGATCGTGAAACGATTCATAATTTAATTAGATACTTGGTTATCTCTCATCAAACAAGATATAATCGATATACTCATTTATCGTCATGTGTATCATATGTTTAACTTCTGCGTTATCGGGAACATAAATAATTAAATTGTATGTTACTGTTATTATATTTGCAAATTATATGTTTATTAGTTGTTCCATATAACTGTACTCTCTCTCTCTCTCTCTCTCTCTCTCTCTCTCTCTAGCAAATTAACAACATATTGTATTAAACGTATGCATATTATATAAAACAAAATACAGTTAATCAGAAGATTATCTTTTCATTCTTTTAATTTTTTATAACATTTTTCGAAATGGTCAAAATTTATTTCAAAAACATACGATATCGTGTCTGTAGAAAGAAATTTGACAAAATCGATGATACAAGATTTTTCCAAAAAAAATTATTTTATTATCACAAGCTTTATAAAATTCCCACGTTTTTTTTTTTGCATTACCTCGTTCTTTCATTTCATTATTTGTCTCTAATATTGTTCATAATAGTTGCCAAAGTATATTCAGGTGTTTCGGATATTCGATCTTTCCACTCACACACATTAAATAACTGTTTAAAATTTTAATAACGCCGTATTGTGCAATTTTGATATAATAAAACCCATGAAACGCATGAATTGTAAATAATGACGTACGTGACGTATTTCGTAATTATCGATTTATCATGACGTAACGAAATTAATTGGGCCTTCATTGCTTACACATGCGCACACATCTGTCTTATCTCAGATATCCAAGAAAGAAAGAAAGAGAAATGTAATCGAGACGTATACAAAAATATTACTATAACAGAACGCACCAGCATCTGCATGTCGTTTTTAGTAAGAATTAAAACTTGTTACAACGCATATAATAGATATTTAATTGCAACAGATTTGAATGAAAATAGCATCATTAAGATCTTTCTAAAATGCCTGTATAAGTATCAAATTATTAATGTTGGTCAATTTAATTTGTGATATTACTACAATAGTTCAATCGAACTGCGTTTCGAGATCGAAAAAAATCAATTCGGCGCGCAGTTTAAATACCTAGTATAACTACACATATGTAAGTACGTATAATATAAATTCACACCGAATTATCTAAATGCCTAAAGCCCAGCTTAACCGTTAAAGGCTTTATTTCTTACTTGTTGTGTAATCACATTTACAGTCTTAAGAAATGCTTTAATGTTCTTCAATGTAAATATTTATCTTCTCATGATTTATGTTGATGTTCCAATCAATTATTATATTGAATCAATTATTATAATGAGTTTAATATCCCCGAAAATCTCGTTTATAATGAATAAGAATGATTTTGCTAAAAAAATCTAAAATGTTGCTGATAGATATAGATCTGAAAATAATTTTGTTGAAAATTTAAACTGTTTGTTAGAAATCAAACTTTTTTGCAGCATTGCTCATTATTTTTTTAGTTTTTACCGTAATTATTTCAATGATCCAACACAATTGTTTTTAAATCTGTCTCCAGCAAAATTTTCGATCTTTCAACATAATTGTTCTTTCCATGTGACTTCAAACAATTATTGCAATAACATTTGTATAAAGAGGTCGTGCTTATTTCAAATTGAACAATGATTTAACTTGGTACCTGTTATATTATTATAACAGAGAGCTACCGTGTGAAAAGAAAACAACGAAAAAAAGTCGTGGGAACTAAATGGAACGTTAAATCGAATTCGGCGAGAATAATCGGATTCGATTCGACTTAAAGACGCGCGAATATCTTCGCATTCCTACTCACCATCGATCAGGGAAGCAGGTACATTCAACTGCTGGTGATGATGCGCCGCCGGATGCTGCTGGTGATGGTGCGGCGGATGTACCTGCAGCAGGTGCGATCTCGTCTGGGAGAAGGTCGGCGACGGTGGTTCCCAAGGTCGGGCGACGCCAGTGCTGGCGGGAACATCCTCGTCCTGACAGCAGAACTTGTCACTTGCGCTCGAGGCGGTCGTACCGGTGCAATTCGCGACCCCGTGTCTGTCATTATTGTTGCTAATCTCCCCGTTATTATTATTGTTGTTGTTGTTATTATTATTGGTACCGCTACTGCCATTG